GTACCTGTCAGCCACCGCCAGCGTGACCGAGGTATTTCAGAGCCAGTGCTCTACGAATTATAAACCAGAAATTATATAAGAAATCGTACTTTTCTATCCGAATATTCAAAAATTGTAGATTCTATTGAGTCGACTTGGAAAGTATTAAAATTGCTGCATTCGCCAATGTTTGATATGTCAACGTACCAACGAATCCAGTGGCTAGTTCTGGACGCGAATATCGCGGCATGATCTTTAAAAACGCAGTTTTATCGTCGACTTCTAATTCCAGGTGTATTTTACCGCGCAGATTATACCCACGGTTGCCACGAACTTCGCGTTATTAACTCGAGATTTGCATACGACCTGCAGCTTACCGACGAGCTAATTAATTCTCTCGTATATCTCGCTGGATGAAGTTCGCGGCGCAGACACGGACTAGTCGGAGACGGTTTGATCGCCGGGGGTGAAATTGACCCGAAACTGTTGCCAATTTGGTCGAAGACTGGAAGTAATATACTTGCTCTTCCCTTCGAAATTGATTGGAAATTTGGAGGAGTAAATGTATCGTATCGTACATTTATTTATTCTAGATTGAACCGAAGAGGGATGCATTTGTCATTCGAGAATTTTTGGTTGCTCGACTTCTCTCGATGAGCACGGGGGCACGACGATAATTTTTCTCCCTCGATTACGTCACCGATCGTGAGGATATAACCAGTGGAGTCGCGTGGGAGCCATCGACACTGGCCAATTAGTCCGTTTCGTTTCGTTTCGAGTGAGATTCGACGAATAAGCAGATCGGGGGTTGGCGGTTGCGTCACGCGAAAACATTGGCCAGAAGTGGAAGCCCCGTTTAATCCGTGCAATTCCGCGGATCGTTGGGTCTGGAGCAATCGTGTCGATCGTTACCCAGCTGGAATTGGTAATTTACTGCTTTTTATAAAGGTAGACGACGGATCTTCTCGAGCGCGGAAGCCACTCGTTAATTGCGGTCGCTTCATCCACTTATTTTAATCATATCGATGGTTCGTGGCATTTATCGAGGTGTCGAATATTTTTAACATGAAGGAATTAGGTTCAGTTCAGAACGTAATCTTTATCGATTGAATCAATTTTAAGGAATAAATTTTCTCCTTTCGAGGCAGCTCGACGGACGCAACGTTAAACAAAGCGTCGGATAACGGGAGATAAATTCCCGCGATTCCGTCGCGGACAACATCAAGGAAATCCGCAGGAAAATCGCTACAGGGGGACGAGTGGAGGAGGACGATAAAAGTGGCGGTGTCCGATAAATCCAGGATATTCCATTTGGTTCGGTTCGCTCGTCGTTCTTCGTATTCGATTTATCCAGGCTGCTTGTGTCGTCTATGACGATCGTTAGTGGGGGATGAAAGGAGCAAGGGATTACACGGACAGGAGATATTGGTCAATCCCACCGGCTCAGCGCTAATAACCGTGGAACACGAAGACGAGTTATGACAGGTGGTGTCGTGGGTCGCTCGGTGGGGTGGAATTGCACGGACGACATGTGCCATTGTTCAAAGCAGAACACATCTACCCCCTGCTCTCTCCTCCACCCTCTCTCTGACGCCTGTGCGTCTTCTATTAACGTCGTGCAACCGTCCTGGTAGACTCCTGGTAGACCTAATCGGTCATGTAAATACCAGAACAATCAACTGTTGTAGCAAAGAGTGCATATTCGAATATAGTATATCCTCTCTCAGCACACCAGCTAGGTGCATAAAGGTATTGGAAGAAAAGTAAGGCCGCCGCTAAAAAGGCGAAAGGGTCGTTCGTGTCAAGGAAGAAGGTATCTTAGGATCGACGTTTTAGCCATCTTTTGAAGATTTCCAAGCACTGTGTTCCGGTATGCAGTTCTCAAGCAGACTGTAAAACGTGACACCGTCCTCGAATAATGTCCGCGTTAAAGGCCAATAATCGTAAACGCTGTCGAAGCGTCCTACCTTTTATGAATGTAAGCGAAGCGAACGACGAGCTGGTACTAGAAGCCACACGTCCGCGTCCACGGGGATGCGGTTTCACGATGGGCATATTTCCGCCGCGGTGTCGTCGGTTATCGATCCAGAAGCGACACTTCCAGGAGACGAGGGCGTGAAAACGCTTGTTCCAATCGCGAATTGGCAGCGACTACGATCGAATCGAGACGAGAGAGACGCGTAGCTCGTTGGTGAATAACCGTGGCCCACGAATTTTGGTATTATTTGCTGGCCGACGGTTAAGCCCCGAATTTCGATACGATTTCCATCGAATTATAATATTAATTCGTGTACGAAACTTACGAGCGGATTAAACCCTCCAATTATTCGGAATCAGCTTAAGCGAACTTGGCGTGGTTGGATAGAGGAAAACAGGGATCTTTGGACATTTTTTTAGAAGGAGGGAGAACACACGTCTATTTGTCCAATATGTTTAATTATTCTTCCCGTACCATTGAACCAATAACACCCACCCTCGCGTCAGGTGCAAATTCCTAGCGCGCGAGTACCTACAATCTCTGTATTGATTTCGTCCACACGTTTTCGTCTTTTCCTTCGGCTCTCTCTTCCCTCCAACATCCCTATCGATGAACCACGACGTTGTCTCGCAGCGACGTAATTATGGTCCCCCTTCGCAAAGTTCTGTCTCCCCTTTGGCCGTCTCTGCCAGGAAACCAACCCGAATCGATCCGATCGGTCTCGCATCTGAGCACGTATTTCGCTAATCGATGCGATTCGTGTTCCGCCTGTGCGGAATTTCAACTAGGGAGACTTCAGCCGTGCTCGATAATCGTCGCGTAACCGTACGTGTAATACACGACCGTGTGACTAGGCGGAAACGGGTGGCGCCATCGACGCTTCTTTGGAATCATTAACATGTCACACTGTATACTCTGTGGAATACACCGACTAAGGTTGAAGTTTCCGTGATCTGAATTTTTTTAGAGTGGTTATTACACGAGGGATCGGAATTTTGATTCCAATGAAATTTGTATTGGTTCCTCTTTGCGTTAGGGTGGTAGGAATAGGGTACTTGATTGATGGTAAAGTTGGTTGTAGTTGTTATAATTTAATGTAAAATAAATGTTGAGCTTAGCATCAGACAACTCGTCCCTAATTTTGTTTAGGTGTTTAAAGCTCACTTTTTTTCTAACAAATCGTTTGTTTTCAGGTGACGATAGCGGCACGCTGTGGAGGCTAAGGTGGCTGTCGCGGAGGCTGAAGAAGTGGCGAGGTTGGTGAAAATCGGCGCCGGGAGCGGACGATCCGGGCAGCGGTAGTGGTGGCGGAACGGCAGGGGTAAATTCCTTTATTTATTTGTAATAGTTCAACTCTCGAAGCCACCTCCTTCAATGCGATTAGAAAATTCCAAGCAGCATAATAAAACAATCCCTTGTATTTTCCGCATAGATTAACGTTTTTATATAAAAATTGGCAGTATATCGAGTATATGCGTCGCAATTCTCATTCTCTCAACGACATTAGACCCCAGCAGACGTCGAGCAAAGCTCGTGTTCTAAGGGTAGACCCTCTCCACGTTCCAAGCGTAGCTGGCTGGGGCCATTCGTGGGAAGCAATCGAATTCTTATCAGACGATTCGAGCACGGTTCTCGGCACAGGTAATCGGGTCGCGATAAGAATCGGGGGATTAAACCGTTCGGAGTTCGATTAAGGCATTATCTTGCGATTGGTATTACGCCGCGTTCGATTAACGCCGCGGGGAAAAAACGCTATTATTGAATAAGTACATTAAGATTTAGCAGCGGTAAGACACGATCATTGACAATAAAAAGGATTAATCGTTTCGTTTCAATCCTGCTACGGACCACTCTGAAAAATTGCATTTTTATCGCGCTTAATGGGAAGAAATAAAATGATACGTCAGAGGTAAATTTTCTAGAGATATCCATTATCCATTTTATACTTGAACAATGTTAACGTGGTGCAGCATAAATGGTTGAATTAACATATCTCTGAAAATATTGCCCCTTTCGAGTAATTATTTTCTTTCGTCATTATTAGCATTAAAGTGGAGAACGTGTTTTCACGTGATCGTTTATGTTCTCTTTTTGGAGGGATTTTTCCATTTTCTCGCGTCTCGTTGCCACTTGAATCTAATCAATAGGGAGAAACGCTGTTCGAGATACAGCGTTATCACGACTCAAATTACGTCTGCCAGCGGGATTAAGTAGCTGGCTCGGTGCAAATTGAAAATACCGCGATCCGATAACGTTCCCCGCCCTTCGCTGTTTATCGCGAGCGCTGATTGCCGGCACCCTGGAAACGTATAATTATATTCCAACGCGCGATAAGTGGTGAACGCAGCGATTCATCGTCCGTTTCAATTGGAACGGAAACGTTTCGATACCACTTTTTCTAATTGTTAATAAATCGGTGCTCGCGTGTCTTTCGGTGCTTCCTTCAAAACTGATTTCAAAAGTAGCCACGCTTTTTAAGAAATTAACCCTTTCAGATCAAATCTCAGAGAACTCCGGTTTATTGACACGTTGATCGGCGCGTAACTCAGAAATTGGTTAACAGGACTTTCCATTAAGGAACTAAAAAGATTAATTTCAAAGATTCGTGAATTCGACGACGTTAACAAATTAAATACCACGAGAGATGTTAAATTGTCTACTCTTCGATAGTCTTGAGACAAAATTTTTACTTTTAACAAATTTTAACACTCGCGAGTTTTAGCTTGGCAGCCCGTAATGAATAAAAACTCGTATTCGTTTTAAATTCGATATTATAAGTACACCGTGTACACGAGGAAAGCATCGTATCATAGCATAACGGATGGTCCTTGAATCGTATTTTCCCAAATGTTTTTCTGCTTTTGGTTAGAGGAATGCGGTAATTTCGTCGAATTCCTGACATCAGCCTGTGTACTAGCGACACAATTATTTCCCTCTGCGGTCGAGGGGTCGGTCCCCTCTCTTCGTTTATTTACGCTCAGTCGTCGATCGAATCCCGGGCAAGCCGGTCGGCTAATACGCTCGTTTATGATTCAAAGGTACTATGGGAGCGGGGGTATGGGGGGCGGAGGAGGGCTACAAGCCACGGACCTCCGGCGAAGGCTCGAGTCCCGATGTTCAGGAAGCACTCTTCCCCAAACCTCTCGTGCTGTAAGACACGATGGCTCCTGCGCACCTCAGAGGAATCCACGCGACCAGGAAGAAAGGTAAGATCACGATGGTCAACTTCTATTACGAACGATCCTTGGTGAGTTTTATTAATTGGTTGATGGTTCTTCGATAGGGTTGACTTGCAAGCGACCCTCGCTTCCGGTCAGCCAACGTGTACAGGTCCCCGGCCGTGTAGGCGCCAGGAGGACGAAGAGAACGCAAACGAGAAATATGTGAGGCGCTCCAAAGGTGGAACCGGGCTTTTCGGTTCGCTATACGGAAAGCTGCGGCTGTCCGTGGGGAGAATTCTTAGCCACGAGGCCGAGGAGGAGAATGGCGACAATGGGAAGAGGCATCGACTTCGATGGTGTCGTAGGGACTTCCGGTGGATCGCGGATGTGGCGACGAGAACCCTGCTCATCGGTATCGTGCTTTTCGTCACGCCAGGTGAGTCTCATTTTTACTCCTCGTCATTTCTAACATTCGTTTGAAAATTACACTCGCGTAGATCGCGTTCGATATTTTAAGGTTAAGTAAATTAAACGCTATCCCTACCAAGCTTAACTTTTTGCAAGCATCCACGTTCAGTTCACAATGTTTCTACGTGAAAATCAATTCTGCTCTGCTTGAGTTTTACTTTTCTCCTAAATCGCGTGTCTCAAAGACCAGACAATCGATAGCAAAGTCTCCCAGCATAGCTAGCCAACGCTCCAACTACCCAAAGTGATAAGATCAGAAACGCTCCAATAAACGTGATGGTTGCGAACGCCGCGAATGACTTCCGTTTTTAAATTGCTAAAGACGCCCCGACATCAGGGATTTAAAAATGGACGTTATTCACTCCCGGTAATAGAGGCGATGCAATCGTTTTCGGATCGTTTGCGCGCACCGCTTTGAACACGCGTTTGTTTCATTACCGTTTGCCGGTTTCTCGAGTTGTACATCAATTAGCGAGGCTCGCTAATCGGAACAAGTCTACCAGGTCACGGTAATAGCTTTCCATCGTCTCTCAAGTACGATCGACCGATCGATGCCGAATTCACCGTGGCTGCGCGTAGATCAGATACCTAATGATGTCGATTGAGATCGAGCGGAGGGGTTTCCGTCAGGATACCTCTTACGATTCCTGATACGTGTCCGCGTCAGACTGTACAATTATGCGAGGGTCCTTTACTCGTGCGTATCGCGATCGACCATTCTCGAAATTATGCGAGTGAAACAAAATCTGGCAGAATTTTCAATTCTATTATATTCGTAAATTCCATGGTTAAATTTACGAGATAACTTTCGAGAATATCGATGCACTAGAACAGGCTATAGTTTTTGCCCAAGTGTGCCTGAATACCTTTCGCGCAATGTTTCAATCGTTTATTTACGACTGTTGCGCCGAAGCATAAAAATCCGTTGACGCACTTAACCGATTTACCAGAACTGGATGAATAAACTGACGTCAATGCATGCTCGGTTCAAAGGATGAATCTTCTCTTTTTAACGGGCGAGCGCTCTTACGATGCTCGTTAGCCTCATCAACGGGAACAATTTCATTAAAACTTCGTCTTCGTACCCGGCGAGCTCGTTTTCCGCGCGCATGCCGGTGTCCCGCTAATGACGCGTTCGCGGCTGCAGAAAACTATGAATCGATGCACGTTACACTGGCATTGTGTCTACCTCGCGGAGGTAAACATTTACGTTCTCGTTCGTTTGGCCCGTTGACGGTGAATTAAAAAACAAAATGGAGAGCAAGCCCCCTTTTAATTCGCTTAAAGTGCGATTTCGAAAGGGAACGTGCACGGTATACATCTCTTTCCCAAAAGCAAATTATCTCCGAGTAATATGACAAAAATAATACCATGATATAATTATTCGTTTGATTAATTTTTCAAATGAATTTTTGAGCACACTTAAATTTGACTCAATAAATATCAACCTAAAATTCATCTATCCAGCATTATTCGAACGTTAGCGGAGTGTCAGTTCATTACTGTATCGTTGCACAGCTCTATCGGTTCAAGCAACCATAGTCGTGACGATTTATCATACGAGCTGTTCATCTAGTTGCAACGACATTCATGTGACAGTGTCGTGCGGCAGGTTGTGCAATAACCCCGCGTTCTGTACAATTGTCATTCAAACAGTCGTGTCAACAGCCAAAAGTGCATAACGTATCGTACGATAAATCGTTACGTCAGCGACCCCCTATCGTGATCGTTGCTTATTCAGTTCCGTATTGTCCAAGCCACGTCGAGCCTCCGGATTACTGAATTTAATACGCTTTGTCATTCAACGCATTATTCAAATATGAATGTCGATGGAATACGATTTTAAGAATGACAGAGTAGCGCATGTAATCCGTTGAGCCTGCTTCAGGGTATGGAGATCGCGGAGAATATTTTGTTTCGTAGGTAGAATATCTAACATATTATATTTCTTGACAAAAAAACAAAAGCTCGTACATTCGTTAACGAAATACTGGCCATCATACTGACTCGTTAAAATCAAGACACGAACACTTGGTATATTCGTTAAAGAGATACATTACTTCCGCCGTCTGCGACCGAAATGATCAAAAGCGATGGTAAATTGTTTGCAAGCGCGAGTAATTGTTCAACGAGGTTCAATTACGATGCAAACGAATCCCTCTAATTTTGACGAACAATATTCGTCCATTTCGCCGGCGCCGTGGGGCGAATCGAGTCCAGAGAAGATTCCCAGCTCGCTAAGCGGATGAATTTATCACGAAAATGGTCCTGGGCGTAAGTAGAAAGTTGAAACGGAGGCGGACGACGAGAGAAGAATGGCAGGGCGCGAGGAGCTGGAGGGAAAAAAGGAATCGCCCGGCGAAATTAGCGGGGAAAGTTGTTTAATATAGAAAGTTGGGTCGAGACAGCTAGAGGGGCTGAAGGGCGACGGGCAAAAGACGAGCCATTGTGATCGCCACTTGCACGCCGGAGCAGCCCGTCGCGTCGGGCTTCTTCGTTTCGCGAGAAACTTTCCAAGTTAATGCCTGTAATTTATTTATTTCCCAATTATTTTCAGCATCCCTTCCCTATCCCTTGGGCGAGTTCGCCGCACGCGAATTGCCCGTCGGCCTCTCGTCGCTGAAAATTTTTAAATTGATTCCGTCCGAAGAATGGGCCCACCGGTGCATGTAATTTCCTCAAAAAGAACGACCTCCACTTCCTGCTTAAAAGGGTTTTCTCGTTCGGAAGTTGAGGAAAAATCGAATTCCTTTGGGATTACCGAAAGTTTCGGGTCTTTGAAAGATGTTGCACAAGTATCAAAGTGAAATTCAGAAAATTGGCGTAGTTACGGGGGATGAAAGGGGCTTGGTTAAGGGTTAAAATTGACGGGAAAGTGGCTTAGCTTGTCTTCTTATTTTTTGCAAAACCTTGGCAAACGTTACATAGTCTGTAGAAGTAGTGAAAACACATTTTAACTGTGAATTCCTTAAAACACTACCACATTTCTGAAGAGAAACAGCTGTGCGCAGTTTGGAATTACAAGTAATTGATACCCTCGATGAGACGACTCTTCCTAGCGCGGCAAAATCTGTTGGCAAACGCATTCGGTCGCGATTAAATTCCTCTTGCAGATTGCAGAGTCCCGTGGCCGTGGAACGTCACATGGTAGCCATAAATTACGCGCACACGAGGCATCCGCGGCGTGTTGGCGGCGAACGATTATGGTTTCTTCCTCGTAGCCGCCTTCAAAGCAGCCCAGATGGCAGGCGATGAAACGACTCGCAAATGACGTTGTCCCTTCCCGTAGGGTACGTTGCCCTTGCTAAAGCCTGTTCCATAGCAGAAAACGCGACTCCGCGCGATCGATCCAACCGAGTTTAACACTCTGCGGTCGACCGACGGCGCTCAGCCGTCGCGCCACTTTTGGCTCGTCCAACCAACCCTCGCGAGTGACCGTCAGATGTAAGTCAGTCGGGCTCGTAAATATTCGTACTCTCTATGTCTATTAAAGAAGTTTGCTAAATTAAATAATAAGTTTGATGTTTTCAAATAAATGTTTCACTATCGATATGTACATAGATGAACTTTTCACTTGCCTTTTCATATATAATGAAAAATTTATTTGGAAACACCAAACCTTATCATTCAATTTAGACAAATTCCACATCACCAAAAATAAAAAAATAATCCACACACGATACAGTCGATGACACAAACACAAGGACCGCGTAAACTGCATGCAAGTGCATGGTGGAGCGCGGTTCCGTGAAACGACAGGGTCCCGACGCTCGCGTCGTCTCGGTAGCCGATTAACCGTGAAGGTCGTAAGCACGAGGACGCCGTCAGAGGTAGCGGGCAGGTTTCGGGATATTATTTACCCGTGGAGCATCCAATTTACGGTAAATAATTAAAACCTACACTCGAGGCGAAAGTTAGCGGAGCCGGTAGAATGCTCGTTAACCCCTGGTTAATTGCTTCGTCCGCGTCATCTCGCTTCTCAGCCGTGTTCTCGCGTGTACAACGGGCTTAAGCATCCCACCAGCGCGCTCCTAACTATTTAGCTTGCACGCGATACACGACTTACGTAGCCGATGGAGCGGCTGCTTAATTTCACGGTTCGTCGCTATCTGAAAATTCGGCCAACGAAGACGGGAATCTTGTTGCGTCGATGTCGCCTCCTTGCCTACGTCGACTTCGCGTGGGTGTGTCCCACCTGATAGCGACAGGATCGTATCCTGTTACGCGTATCGTGTGTCGTCCATCGGAGTTGAGCGGCATTCTTATCTAGATAGTAACGTGTGAAACCAGCATCGAATAAGGTTCTAGGCTTCCTTGTGCGCTATAACAATTTCGGAAGGGAATGGAGTGGAGTTGGAATTGGAAGGTAGTCGTGGTCGATGATTGATAACGATTGATGGAGATGAGGCGTGTTTTATATGTTCGGTGTTTATAAAGGTTACAAGTGCTTCCTAGGGTTATCGACTTTATATTTAAAACTAGTATATAAGCTGATGAGTCTATAAACTTGTGAGTCTATACATTCATAAATATATAAGTCTGAAAAAGGATGACAATCACCCATCGATACACGATTCACAGATACTTGCAAACATATAAACTAGATGAATCTCTCTATTTTGTACAAACACATCAACGATAATTAAACGTTCGATTCGCTAAAAACCCGGGTTCATCGTTTGAAAAAAGGCCACGGGAGCGCGTGAAGCGTCGATCGTTTCCAACATTGAAAATTGGCGATAAATCATCGAGTGGACGAGAATCGACAAATCTTGCCAGGTCCAATTAGCGGCAATCGAGAATAGAAAGAGGGTGTGTCATCGTTGAAACGGGAAACGTGTTCGCTGTGGCTTTCGTTCTCTTTCCCTTCTGCGTGGCTTTTCCCGCGATTCAAAGCTGGTGGACGATCGCCCGGTCGTTTTCACTCGCCCTGATCATAGATAACGGGAGTGTCCGAGCATACGCGCGCTCTTTGTGCGACGAATAGAAGCCCGTTCTGCACACGGACAGGTGGCACACGGGCGAAAGGAACGCGAGGACCAAGAGACATCACCGAAGAGTCGTCGATTTCGACGTTGCGCTGGTTCCATACGTATGCAACGGCCCTACGCGAACGCATATACCCACAGCCTGCCAATAATCGGAACAATGGCTGGCGACAATGGAACGAAAGCTCGAGTGGACGATCAAAGTCTCGCACTCGACGGCGAAGACACTCCATTCGTCACTTTCGGAATTAATCTTTCACTTTGCCGCCATTCTTTCCTAACTTTGTTTTCTACTCGTAGTTGCCTATTTTTACACATCCTTGCATACTATGCTATATACTCGTCGAAAAAATACGTTGCAACCCTCCACAGATTCGAATTAGTAGTCCCCCAGCAAACACGCTTATCACTCGGGATATACGGACATTCCGCTTATAATTTATCCCGTGTATCCTTTGGCAGCGCGTCCTTTGTTTCGGTGCTTTGGTCCGCCAAAGGAGGAACCCGGAGGCCGTTCTTCAGGGTGGCCACGCTTTCTCACGTTTACGCGGAACGGCTGCATAATTTGCGGTTTACTCTGCTCATGGACTTTGCGATCGGGGTAGATCAGAGCAGTCCGAGCGAGCCTTTTCTTTCCTCTTCGTAATTTCCCATCCTCCGCGTGCGAGAGGGATTCCAGAGGGCCCCCGCGAGCCATTGTTCCGCGGACGAAGACAATTTCCACGGCGCTTTCACGCTCCGGCGAGTCCCTCTTTGGAGAGTCTCATTTAGTTTTTTGGGTGGTCGCCCGCATCGGACGCCCTCGGGGCTCGCTGTGTCCGTTCTCTCGTATTTTTCCGCTTTTTTTTTTTTTTTTTTTTTTTGTAGACGCCATAGCGTTCGGCCTGTTGATAAACGGGACGGACTGTATGAAAAGCTGCTCGAACACCGTCGAACGCGGCATTACAGTTTCGAGAAAGCAAACGGACGCTATTGCTTCCCTGTTTGCTTTCATCCCGAACAGACGAAAATTCGAGCATCGATCGTCGTTACCCGCTTTATCCTTTTATTTATTTATTTATTTATACGAGAACTTCAGTCGGCATTTGGAATTAAACGCGGGCTTTCGATTCGATCGATTTTTAAATGCCTGAAAATGATTTTTCGTCAAATCGTTTCTGCAAATATATTAATCGAATCGTGTAATTTTAGCATTCGTTTCATTTCGTCTGGATCAGAAAAAATGGAGGAAATGTTAGTTTTCATTTGGTATGCGAAATGCATATTTTTTTATCGTTTGTATGAAACATTTTTGAAAAAAGTTCCGCAACTGTTCTCCAAGCTCATTTCCGCTTGGAGGTTTAAACGGACACAGAGGGTGCCTCGCGATTCGTTTTGGGAGTTGGCAAGAAAGCACTTCGGGAAGGCGCCCCCCAGCGTTAACCTGCAGGCGCTTAACGGTTTGTCGCGACAACAGTTTCGCTAATTGTGCGGCCACCCTTCATCCAGGATTCGCGAACCTGTTTCTCGCGATAACGAGGTGGCCGCGGTGCGTAAACACGGCCCGCACCCGCACCAAGCTGAAAGTTTAATGACGGTCGACAATAAAAACAGTTGTTTCCCAGAGACTCGGCCACTCCCAGCCATGATCGCGATAATGGGACACGAACGCGCGTTGGGCGTTTCTCTGACCGAATAATTATGCGCGATGCGTGCAACGGTCAACGAAAGGGGGTTGCATCGAGCGCGGAAACTGGGTGAGTCTGTTTCCTGCGGCGTCGATAACTTTATCGGGACGTTATTAGGAATCCTAACGATCATCCAACGTTTTCTCTTATCGCGATAAGGATAGGTCTAGCGATCATATTGAGCTGGGAGCGCGATCGATCCGAAATTTTCCCTCGTGAAGGTAGAGAAACGTTTCGATCGTGGCAAAGATATCAGAGAATATAAATTGACGCGAAAATTTTCCTTATTTTGTTTTGAGTACTACTTGTCAGCTTATCAACTTTCGATATTAGGAAAGGTTTATAAATTTGAGTTTACAAGTAGATATGTGTATTTATCAGTTTACAAGCTCACAAATCATAAAAGAAAGGAAGACAAAGCCACGATAAATAGCAGCATCCTTTGCGGAAAATTTCACGGTTTGGAGGATATATCGTGTGTAATGTAGCGTGCAAAGCATGTTGGCAGCCGTGTGTTTGGAGATTTATTACTGGCCCTTTGTCGCGCAGGAAGGGACGTCATGGACCTGTCGTATTCGTACCCGGCGCGAGTCAAAGGGAATAGGTATCAAAGTCAGATCCATTATTCGAATGGATCGCCTCGCGGTCGGCGACCCGAGTTTCTCGCGTCGCGATGGCGATTTTTCCAGAGTTTTCGCGGATGGTTCTGGCCTTTGATGTGTACTCGCGACCGCGCAGGATGCATTCTTACGCGTTAAAAACGGAGAGAGACTCCTAGAGCCTGCGTATGTTGTCCGTGAATATATTTATTACAAGCAACCTTTGCTAGAAAACCTCTGGAACCGAAGTACGACGTTTCTTTCATCGAATATCTCATTACAAAGTTGTAATACACACTTTGAACAATTTTAAAAATATTCGTTCACATAGGAAACTCTTAGCATCCTCTTCTAGACGTTTTGATTAGGGAATCTCATTTCAAGGAAAAGAGCATTAAAGCTTCAAGTCGTATTTTCTTCTCTACGAAACAAAAATACATATATTCTTGAAATTTGTGGGAATAGATGTGAAAAGTTTAAGAAAGAAGGAGAAAAAAAATTCGCGAAGAAACGGGTCCAGTTAATATTCCGAAGTGGGAGAGAGTCTCTTAAACGACGGACAGTATTCGCTTAGCTCGTCGAAAACATCGTCGTCGCGTTTGCCCGTTGGTTCGATTACTTTCATCGAATTTGCAGTTGGACCTTTGCTCGCGTAACTGTCGACTGACTCCGTGGAGGGAGCTGGAAAAATACGGGGACCGGAAGTTACCTCCGTAAATCACCAAGTTCGGCTGGTGCCAGCGCGGCACTCACGGCGGAAAAGTTGAGGTCGCGAGCGAAACTCGAACTGGAAACTTTTACAAAATATCTATCGGCCGTCATATTCAAATTCATCGCGAATTAATATTCCGTAGGTGATTACTGGCAGCAACGATGATTTAAAAAAAAAAAAAAAAATGGCCAAATAGAGCATCGTTGAGGTGATGAGAAGGAACAAGGAAAACTGCTTTCTGGAAAGTTTTTTATAAGATATAGGAGATTGTTAAAAGTCTATGTGTTTGGTTTGTAAATGGTTGTGACTGTGGTAGAACAGAGACTAATGTTGTGTTTTTGTGTTTCAGGTCTCTGTCACCAGGACGCGGTGCACATTACGGCAATTCTGGGGGAGAGCGTTGTCTTCAACTGTCACGTAGAGTTCCCCGGTGAGCACCCAGTGCCCTACGTTCTCCAATGGGAGAAGAAGGTAGGCGACACGGTACGATATCGGACGACACCCTCTGCTCTCTATATCCGTGAGTTAAATACGTGGGCCCCGCTTGAAGTGGAATCGCTCTCTGGTATCAGCGATTCAAAGCAAACCGAATTTTGGTTCTTTAATATCCCCGCGTATAATCGAAACCAGTCGGGTACGCGGTTTATTTATTTATAAACATATCCTTTGTGTACGTAGAAGTAATATTCTCGATCTAAGAAAACGGTCTGATATCAACAAATTACTCCACCGTTATGAAACTTGTTCAAACATTTAAAAGCATGTACGTCCAGTGTACTTATCAAGTGTACTTATCAACTAACACTGATCCATATATCAAACCATACATACACAGCTATAATTGCGGAATTTTGTAACCAATTTTGTATATTTTTGAAGTTTTTATCTCAACAAAAAAAAAAAACTGATCACAAAATCCCGTATGTAGGGATTTGTACGAATGTTTGTCGGTCTCTAGTTTGCTTTATTTTTTTTTTAAATCGTCCATACATGGATACGCGTACATGTATCTTAACATTTTTGGTTTGAACTTTTGACCACTGCAAATTCAATACGTTCCACCCCGGTACTTCAAAGGGGATAGCAGTCACTGCAATCTATACATTCTTTTGCATTTTTACTCTTTTTCTACCCGTAGCAATTTACACTGCGTCTCGTTTCATTTACATATCCTCCGTGATAACGAGAGGGCGGACGATGGGACCATTCAAATGACAAATTAAATCGCGAAATTCACCGAAATCGTCGACTCTGTTCGGTGCAGCGGGTTCTTTTTAATTTCCCCGGTCGAACATTGCGTAATCGAGAACTGGAGCGTAAAACCGGCCCGACGGATGGAGGCGACAGAAAGAGTCTAGCGTACGGATGAATGGTGCTCTCGTGTGAGCCCCGCGATCGAATCTTCCGCCCTCCGCCCCCGCGTCGTTGCTCTTTTTATCGTTTCCTCTGCCAACGACAGACACGGTCACTGCCCGGCCCGGGCTCCGATGTATCTATTTACGAGAACCTCCATCGCTACAGAACGTTTCAATTTTCGAATCGCGACACACCACCCCATTTTTCGCTTCATCGATTTCTCTGCCACGAGGAGACATACAATAATTTTACGAAGATCTAAACTTTAATTATTCGTGTCGCAAGCAAGCATTACTTTGATCCTATTGAGATCGCTTGTGACAAACTTGATTTCAACTCATTTTTTTTTTTTACGCGTAAAATCACCTCCTTCTCAATTACCCCACGAATTTTCCATACTCTACCACCGCTACGGGATGTCGTAAAGTATCAAACACGATTCAAACATATCCCAAGGTATTAAAAAACTATCGTAGAAAATCTCGAGGATTCTCGAGCAGTTAGTGAATTTTTCCATGAACCAAAAAATGTCGCTGATACCAGAAACGAGAGTCGACGGTGGAGTAACCGAGCGGGGCCCCGTGGGCACACATTACGTTCTTAAATTGCATCGCAATGACTGTCGACGATACTGTGAATTGGCTTACGTATTGTTTACTCGTCGATTTGTTCGCTTCAGTGCTTACGTATTTTTCGTTCGTGTCTTTTTTTCGTCCGTACTTATACTCGTTTTACGAGTTGGAATCGAACGGGGCAAACGGGACACGCCTCTTGTTCCCATCCGCATGCGGGAACATTTCGTTTTGGCTTCCCGCTCGCGTAGCTAACAGTAACTATTATATACAACAGTTGTTTCCATGATATACATGTTACATATCTCGTATACGTATATATATCTGATCCGGACTGGAGAGGGCAGAGCACGTTTTTCTACGTCGATCAACGAAGTCATCCGATCACACGTTCTCTCAGCCAGCAACGTTCCCTTCGATTAGCTCGATTCACTCGCGCGTACGGTTTCTCTCTCATCCACACCTACCCCACGCGAAATCATCGTAACACGATCACTGTACGTCCCAACGAATGTTGCAATCTTTCGTTTCTGCAACGTCGCAAGAGAATGAGCGATTTATTTAATCGTGGTTAATCCTAAGAGGAACTTTGGGGTTTGGATTTACTCGATTATTTTGAACGTTAAAAAAATTCTTTTTAATTAGATTGTTTTCATCATTTAAATATTATAACAGGATGTAATTCAGACCCAGATGAAATATAAATTCGTGCGAGGTCTGAAGTGACAGTAGACGTCAAGCTTGACGGAAGTCATTTTGGGATTTTAGATACCTGTCGAATTGAAATTTCATAAGATCTGAAGACGGTAGAAACTAGACATCGAGACCCCAGAAGTTCTCCTAGAATTAAATTTACCAATCCGGTCCGATGAACGTCTTCGATCCGTGAATAGACAACGAATTCTCTTTCCTCTGCGCTCCTATGCCAACCTGTGGGAACTGTAAGAACGTTTCCAATTGTCTCTCAAAATCTCTCTCTTTCTCCTTTCGAGGAGTGTTTACACGTTACGGCTCTTTCGTTCGGCGAGCTCTGCCTCTGCGCCATGGAAGACACCAGTTTCAATTATAGAGCTCGATAGAGTATGGAATTTCAAGTGTTAGAGTACAGAAACACGTCTGTCCTAAATTCAATACTTCTCGAGATTCAGCGAATCGTCTGTAAGTGTCGCATAGTCTGCGCTCCGCAGCATTTATCGACGATTCATCGTCTCTCTGAATGTAGTAACTTTAGGATAGTTACACCCAGATAGATTTTTGACTAAAAATTTACCACTCTATCGAATTCTGATAGAAAATTTATAAATTTTACTAGATGACAGCACGGTACTTTCTAAACCAAACACGATTAATCCCTTTTACCGCCGTCAAAAGCAAACGAATTATTCACGCGTTTCGAATGCCTCGTGTTGCGATTCCACGCGCGTTTGGTATAATGCAGAATTCGTTAGATAAATTATTCGGAGGCAAACTCGCCGATCGCGGGGCAACGCGGGGTAGTGCACTTTCCCTTCCTATCGGAGGTGGAACATCAGAAAATCACGTCTCTGTCTCTCTAACCTCTGGTGCTTTTGCATGAACCTGCGGGCGCTGGCGACTCTGGGATCCGATCAAAGGGACTCGTCCGTAGCTGCGATTCTTTGAGACTCACTATACATGGGACACTCTCTGTCTTCGTGGAAAGAAAAGCCAGGATTTCGTAGACGCGTAGCACTTTTAATGAAACGCAAGCGCGGACGATCCCTGTCTGGCAATCCCCGAGCTTGCACGCGAGCACGACCGCGCACCTAACACACGTCACAAGACGAATGGTCTCTCGTATCGTCGGTGTAGCGTTAAAAAATAATAGCTGTGCCAGCGATGCTTTATCTCGTCGTCGTTACGAGACAGTCGCGTCCTGCATGCCCCCTGGCTTCCGTCTCAGACTAATTCCCGTGTCACGTGCGAACGTATGGCCGAAGTGTTGCGCCGTTTAATCCTGCGCGCTCTGGGGAAAGAGCGAAACGAACCAGCGATAGCCTGGAGAAATATGGAAGCACCGGCATAAGGAAATTTAAATTTTAGACAGGCAGAACGAACGGATCAAGTCAAACTAGACTGAAGAAAACTTCAAAGAGGAATACTTCATACATTTTCATAATAGAAATCGAAATATTTGATTCAATTTGCAAATTAAATTCAAATCAGTTCCTCCAGAGGATGGAACAGAGTTTAACCACCCACGAGAATTATTCTAACTAATCTCGGCAACAATATCCACTGATGTTTGACGGGAAATTGGAAGAGGGGCAGTTTTTCAACTGCAAACGAAAAGGGGAAGCGAGTTCGTCGCGTCGGACGACACCGGGTTTCGAGACGATTACTGGCTCCGCATCGGTCGGTGGGAACGCATTAACCGTGAATTCAATATTGACTCGGCAAACCTGCGTATCCATCGTCGTGTAATTAATTAATCGATCAATCGATTCCGCGGGACAATACTGTGATTGTCGCAATGACAATCGCATCCGCTTCCGCACGCCGGGTTTCTCTTTATAACGATCGACAGCTGCGCGCGCAGCGACGATCACCGACTTCCTCCCGCGATCGCCAGTTCCGTTCGAGAGGACAGTGTCGATATAAATTGATTGCAAGTATAATGGCGTCATTGTTCGGTTATCATTAGCGGCTTGGCTCGTCTACGACGTGACCCTTTCGACGTTCTTCTTCGCGGAGACGCTTGCCAATCGGAAACGAAGCCATTGTTCCCTGCTTCCAAGGACTGGACAGCATGCTCTCGAACAAATTGCGTTAAATTTTTAATTGAGGTAGTATTACTTTTATTACTTTTGCTCGTCTTAGACTTGAGGAGAGTTCAAGGAATAATAAGCTACTATGTCTATTACGTAGAGAAGTTTTTTATTTGTATCTTCAGTTTGCTCTATTTGTTAGAGATGACAAAAATTTGTTTCGACTAGAACGCAGGTACCCCTATTATAAACCTTCGAGATTAGCACCAGAATAATTTGTTTCTCCTCGAGAAGAAAAAAATTTCCCTAAACCAAACCGCAAGTAAACGTCTCTCCCAAGCAAACAGAAACAGAATCCACGTCATCGAGACTCGAGTAATTCATTATGACTGTCCAGCAACGTTGGGGTGACTGTAAAATTATTTTTCAATGGAGAACGGCGTCGTCTGGTCTAAATCGACGCGCAATTAATTACGTCTCGCGTCGAGCCACTCGAGGCGATCCCAAGGAGCCCGCTCCTTCCTATGAGATTTTCCCCGTCGAGAGCGAACCGGAAATCTCGAGCGTCGAAACGATGCGCCGTCGCCATTTCCATTTCCCAGGCGATCCCGCGCTACAGAGCTACGAGAGGGACGCGAAGGGGGGTTGCAGACCTGTTTTCTTTTTTATGCGCGCATAAATCACGCGGGGGAGCCCCGGGGCTTACGAACCGTTTCTCCCTTGCCCCTCGATTCACCCCGTGCCACTGCGGCTGACAACTAATTTCTCTTCCCGTCCGACTTTTTCCATAGCCGCGCCGCGGCCGATTTTCGCACGCCTCTTCCGACTA